TAAAAAATGAAAAGTTCAAAAATCAGGCAAATTTCATATGTCCAATTCATGCCAACTAAATTGAAAAGCTCTTTGTGGAGTGTTACACGGACCCAGGCGAACCCGAAAAACGTTAGAATAAAAAAAATATTCAAAAAAAATCAAAAAATCAAATCAAAAACATCTTTTTGGAGTATACTCGGAACTCTTGACTGCCGGCCAGGGTCATCAAATCACTAAATGTCCGGCAGTCTAGAATTTTTTATATTTATTCAAAACAACTTTTAGATTTGTTCACTGTCCTTTTTCACAACCTTGCATGTGCTATCGTGTCTCGATCCGTCCACAAACTGAATTCAACTAGGCAAATTTTTGTTTTCTGATCTATAAACGARTGGCAAGTCCAGATGCCCCGCCAATCCGTGCCCGTTTTTAGTAAAGAATAGGTGTTTGTAAACGATGATTCGTTAATAAAAGTAGCAASAACAATTACTTTGTTTAAGGACGTTCATGTGCAAAGTACCATTGGATTTATTAAAGTATACTAAGTTTGAAGATTTATAATAAGATATTGGGGCATCAACGGCTTGGTTTTAGAGCTAGGAGATTTCGAAGGGGCAAAAAACCGGTTTTGCTCATTACCAAAGACATTGAAATGACGTCATCAAAATAAGGGCGTGCACACGAATGTCATGCGTACAAAAGATGCGCCCGAACAATACCCATAAACGTCCTTAAGCACAGGTTCTTCGATAAGAGTCCAAATAATATACCGGTGACCTGAAATAGTTAGCTAACAAAAAAYCTGTTTGCTTCATGGCAGAATACAGTGCTGGAGCAAAGGTTTGGGTAAGCAAATAAACGATCTTATTTGCGTCTTGTGTGCATGGTTGTGCTAGCGATTCACTCTATGCATTGTRTTTTGTTTTAACCTCTCACTTAGTTTATGTCAAGACACTAATTAGTTGCAATATGTTGCCATCTATTTCACGGGTATATTATTTGCACTCTCGTCTTCGATCTCAGTTGAAATTATGACTATATAAATTTCAATTTGCAAGATCTGCAAARCCAATTTCGGTTCTTTGGTCTTTTCTTCGACGAAGTGCACTTCAAATGTGACCACAGCAGACATCGGTCACAGGCAATACTGTCTTCACATTCGTCATTTATAACTTTTGCGCAAACTGCGCAAACCCAGTCAATCTGATTCTT